TTTACCTCGTTTTAGAAATTGTTCATAAGTAGAGCATGGTCTTGCGTATCGAATCAACTTAAAAAATAAGATAACATTTTTAGAGTTTAATTGGGATGTGACATGAAGTCGGTCACGTGATCAAATTCTATAACGCCCGAAGGGCGATATAGTAGATTTGATCACGTACCGACTTCATGTCACAACCCAATGAAACTCTAAAAAAATGATATTTTATTTCTTATATTTATATTTTTATATATTATATTCGTGTTACAAGGAAAAATAGGCGCTATTTGGACATTGTTATAGAAATGTTATAACATTTGTTTTGACTTATTTGTTTTGAATTTTTTGGTTAGTTCGTCATATGACTATTCACGATTAATTGTAGTTTTGTAGTTAAACGTACAGTACTGATGTGATTACTGAATTTTTATCTGTTAACTGCATGTCATTGAAAATTGAATGTCAAATTTATTTATATTGTGTGTTTGACTTATTTCATTTGTTTAAATGTAAATAATTTGTTATATAAACTTCACAAAAAATGCAGTGATGAAGGTATATTGATGCACAAGTAAGGGAAGCATGACAGTTTCAGAAAAGTTAAATTTATTTATATTTTATCATATAGTTTCATGATCTGTTCAATCGTTATGCAAACTGGAAGTTTTAAAGAATTTCCAAGTAATAACTTTTAGGAAATCAGAATTAGGTTATAACAACAAAAATAAGATTTACTTTAGAAATCACAACTGTGCTGTACGGAAGCCCTGGAGGGACATTGACTTACTTGTTATGACTTACTTGTTATAACTTTTTTGTTTTGACCTATTTGTTGTGAATGTTTCTAAATGTTAAGTGTAAGAAAGCTATTGAAAACCTGTTGCTTGGCTTACTTTTATGATAAAAATGATATTTAGTCACAATTTTAACTGTGGTTTTTGATTACAAATTGTAGTTTAACTCCAGTAAGTTGTGATTTTTAAAGTAAATATTCTTATTTGTTATAAAACATTCTTATTGCATTATTACAATTTTATATGTAACTTCCAGTTTGATGAAGAAAATAAAAATCACTGCATTTCATTTTTATTGAAATATATATCTATGATGTTTTCTGAACATAATTCTCACTTTATAACTTTTTAAATTAATATTGTCATAACAAATTCAAAATACAAGAATTTAGTTAATTCATAAGAAATAACAAAACACATAAGAAATAAGTCAAAACACATAAGAAATAAGTCAAAACACATAAGAAATAAGTCAATATCTCTCAAGGGCGTGTAATTAACAGTAAAAATTTCAATCACCTTTTGATTTATTCAATAAAACATGTTCAAAGCAAAACACTTTTATAATCAAAAAAAAATTCAAAACAAATGTCATTATAACAAATAAGTCATAACAAGTAAGTCAATGTCCCTCCAGGGCTTCCGTAGTGCTGGACGTTAAACTACAATTCGTCAATCAAAAATCACAGTTAAAATAGGACTAAACATTATTTTTTATTTAAAAAGTACGCTAAAATAATTATTTAGCTACGAAACATTCATCAAATAAGTCAAAACAAAAAATTATAACAATAAGTCATAACCATACAATGTCCCTTTTAATTTGGACATTGTTATAGAAATGCAACATAACGTAACTACGGCGTCATATGACGTCACAACAACTTTACAATAGATTGACTTTGGTTGCATGTTTTGAAAATTGAATGTCAAATTTATTTATATTATTTCACAATTTTCAAAAATTTAGGCTCCATTGCTAATCATTACTATACACTAAGCATGTTTAGTTTGGTTACTTAATAAAAGTGCATAGCACTTTTATGTTAATTTGGGAAAAATGTCAAATAAATGCATTTTTCAAAAAGACTTTAATCAGTAATAATTCAGAATTTTTAAAAATATTCAAATATATTTCTCTTTACCACACATACAATCCGTTACCCTTGGTCCAGGAATAATTTTACCGCAAAGGAACGTATCATAGAATATATAGGTAGTTCATCTGTCAAAACAATCGATAAATAAACTTATAAAGACTTAGAATGTTGTTTAAGAAACAAACATTTTAAACAATTTCTGCATTTTCTCTATATAACCAATAGAGTAAACGACAACTCTAACAACAGAACCCCTGACCCTGGGGTCATTTGCACTTGGTTTGTTCAACATCATAACTATGTACTTAGTTATTTGACTAAATACCCAAGAACAGAGAAGAAGATTTTTAAAGAAATAATCTATTTTCACTATATAATCAATAGAGCCCAGCCCTTTTTAAAATTCACACTCGTGATCGAACAGTGACATTAACATTTTCATGGCTTCCATAAAATTCACAATTTTGTTTTAATTAATTAAATTTGAAGTCATCATAACTATATACTTACAGTTAAATAACTTTTCGTTGTTTATAATAAAGCAGCAGAGAAGAAGATTTTCAAACAATTTCTGCATTTTCTCTATATAAAAAATTATCGAGCCCCGTAAAAACACCAGAACCCCTGACCCTGGGGCCACAAAATTCACAATTTTGGAAGAAGCATTCTTGTCATATAACTATATACTTAGTAAGTAAATAATACTTATATATACACGGATGCAGGATGAAGATTTTTAAAGAAATAATGCATTTTCACAATATAAAAGTTAAAGTCATCACGTTTATCATATAGTTTGGTTGTTACCATTAACGTCTTTTTAAAATTCACAAATTTGAAAAGGCATTCTTCTTCATCATAACCATGTCCTTACTTAGTTTATTTAATACCCAGGAGTAGAGAAGAAGATTTTTAAAGAAATAATGCATTTTATATATAATCGCATAAGATTGTGCACAAATTCTGCTTCATATGAATACAAAAATAGGTCTGATAACACTTCTTACACAACTTCGTATTTGTTATAAAACATTCTGATTGCATACACAATTTTAGTACTTCAAACTTGATAAGAAAATAAAAAAGATGCATGAGTTTCTTATTGAAAATATATATCTATGATTTAGAACATAATTCTCCCTTGTATAAGTTTTTAAATTGATATTTCTATGTACTACATGTTTTTCCATTGCATGACATATACTTAGTAGTTATATTTAAGGAGAGGAACTCGTAAGTTGTAAGAACTTGTTTTCAATCCCTTTGATTTATTCCATAAAACATGTTCAAAGCAAAACCCCTTTATAATCAGACCTTTTTGTATTCATATGAAGCAAAATTCATTTGCAAATCTACATGAAAAGAAAGGATACGTCTGTGGCTTTTAATTCTAAAATAGATATTTAGATGGCGGTTTATCAATTAGAATTCATTGATATTTCTATATTGATTCGATACATCCCTTTTAACTGAAATAAAAGATACCACAGATTCTTGTATATTTGTTTCATTTTTGAATACTAGTATTTGCCTCGAAAAAAAACTCATGGAAACATAACAATAAAACAATGATAAACATGAAGGTTTCAACTTTCTATCGTGAACTTTTCTTGTTTATGGAGCAAAAAACCATTGACACAGGAACTGCATAGAGTTTACATCTCCCAGTTGATTCGATACGCAAAAGCTTGGCATGGCCTACTCGCGAACAATTTCTGAAAAATCAAGCTCGGGATTTGAAGAAAAAAAATTATGAAACAAGGATATCAAAAGTCTCGTATAAAGTCAACATTTCGCAAAATGGTCGATACAATAATCTTGTCTGAGTTATAATTTATCATAAGTCAAATGTTGACTGACGTTTTTTAAATAATTGTTATGCCATTATTTTAATACTAGCTACGGATTATTCCGTATACACGATCATGACAAGAAGCACACAAAGGGTGTGACGGTCCACAGGGAATGCTTACTCCTCCATAGCACGTGATCCAACCTTTGAGGTTTTAGAGGTCCGTGTTTACTTAATTTGCTCCCGATTTGTGTTGTTTCGATAGACTTGAGCCTGATTTCTGTTCATTATCTTTTTACATCAAGCATTATTTTTAGGTTTTTAAAATCATTGCTGTTTATTTCCGTTTAGTTCAACAAATTTGGCCGGCAAAAATATTTTTCTTTTGTATCTACAATATCAGTGCATCAGCTAGTGTTTTCTCTACATTAACAATATTTTATGTATCTCGTTTATAATTTTATGAACATAAAATGCTACCAGGTATTAAATTTCCATGCCATTTATGTCATTTAGAATGGTATTGTTTTACATGGATTCGATTTTCACCTTTTAAGCTACTAGTATAGTAAGTTATAAAGCTGAAAAAATGAAATAAACCATTTTTTGTGCGACAAAACCGGCCGAAAGCGTGGTCAAAGAGAGGACGGACTTCATATTTCTTTCTTTTTTTTTTTACCTCCGCAGTTTGCAGGCGATGTCAATAATTCGCTCCTCATATTGAGATAGTAACTATGTTGTGGTACTTCAGAAAAAGGGATTAAAAATTTCTTTGTTTCTTTACTTTCAACGACTGAGTTCTACTTACATTTCATTGAATTGATCCACTTGTCTGTAACATTAGCATGAATATTTCATTACATATGCTATTAAATCTGAAGAAGTGCTACGATGCTAGGCAAGGCCGTGATCCATTTCTGATAAAAGCATCACAAACTAAGAAACCCATACAACCGCAGAATTATTACAATTTACAATTGATTTGTGTGAATTCTTTGATTTGGAATTTTTCGGTCTGTTTAAACGATAAAAAGATTTCAACGGAGTCTTGCAAGTTGCAAAAGTTTGAGTATATGAATTTTAAAAGACCTCGCTGCATTTTTTTTAAAATCAATTTTCCTTTAAAGTTATTTAAATTTAATTTTTATTCTCATTGAAAAAAAAATTCTATGGTTATAAGATTAGGGAAATCTACAGAGTATTTAATTTTAAAAATCAATAGAGATTATTGTGGGACGAATAATAGAAAACGGGTTAAGCTACCTCAAGTAGAGTTACATAACAATTAATTTAAAAGAACTAGCAAACATATTTGATCCGTGTTCCAAGTCAATGAACTGTAACGTAAACTCAATCGATCACTTGTATCCAAGCATACAGGAAGTGACAAACGATGCTAGCTTTTTAATGAAGGTAAGTCTATTTAACACCTTTATTTGCACACACCGATTTCTATATGCACATTTGTGTAATCTTGCGTGAGGTTATTTTTAAATAAGCTACAATTTTTGCGATCTTATAAAAAAAAAATATTAAGCGCTGTATATACAATGACATTTACGGTGGTATATTTAGGACACGCAATTATTTTATTTTCAAATACCAGAAAAAAATTATCTTGTGAAAACGACATAATCATCTTGTGAAAACGAGATATTATCTTGTGAAAATGAGATAATATCTTGTGAAAACGACATAATATCTTGTGAAAACGAGATAATATCTTGTGAAAACGAGATATTATCTTGTGAAAACGAGATATTATCTTGTGAAAACGACATAATATCTTGTGAAAACGAGATATAATCTTGTGAAAACGAGATATTATCTTGTGAAAACGAGATAATATCTTGTGAAAACGAGATATTATCTTGTGAAAACGAGATATTATCTTGTGAAAACGATATAATAATATTTTTATTATATTATGTCTTTTTCACAAGATAATATCTCTTTTACACAAGATAATAAGTCGTTTTCACAAGATAATCGTTTTCACAAGATATTATCTCGTTTTCACAAGATAATATCTCGTTTTCACAAGATAATTTCTCGTTTTCACAAGATATTATCTCGTTTTCACAAGATAATAAGTCGTTTTCACAAGATAATTATGTCGTTTTCACAAGATAATTTTTTTCTGGTATTTAAAAAAAATAATTGCGTGTCCTAAATATACCACCGTAGACATGAATGGACTGCATTTAATCATTTTCATTATTATTCGATTCTAATAAATGCAACGGACTGTTCAGCAGAGAACAATATATATTCTGAAGCATAAACCATCATATACGGACTGCTTTAAAAGTCAACACTCTACACATACAAAAAGTCTAAGTAAACCTCTTAAATCAAAATCTTTTTGGCATTGTTGAATGGATGAAACAAACATTGACGCTCTCTTAAACATGCACATCTTTGATATAAACACCTTACTCACTTTTATAAAAGGAACATCGTTTATTCTATGATGTAGGCGAGCCTTAATTTTATCCACCATTTAATCTTCTTTATAATATTTTAATATCATTGAATGTAAATATTATAATTTAAACATTATCATATATTCTAATTTCAGGCAGAACATCTGGCTTAAGCTAAAAGCATGATAAAAGTAAGTATATACATTTTTTCACCTACCATTAACTGCATGGTAGAATTTTTTTCCTTCTCTTCACTTATTCAGGCTGTCAAATTCAAACGATCGATGATATATATTATAACTGATTTAAGAACTATGTGACATTTACAGAGAAAGGTTTATGTACGTGTTGTATTTCTGAAAGTCGGCGAAATCGACACAGTGAAGGAAAAATACTGTGCAGACGTTTTTGTCCAAGCAAGATGGAGGGAACCATCTCTGGATTTCTGTCAAGTATGTGTTTGTGGAGGAGGGGGGGTCTTTTAAAAGAGGTTTGAGATTAAAAGAAGAAAACAAAGCATAGGAAATTATGTCTTATATATTCCTAATGAATGTGCTTGTTAGCATTGTCTCTATGAAATGTATACAAACAGGTTTATTTTTTGGTAGCATCTTCGGAACACAAAATTGGACAATTACTGGGATCCTAAAATGTCAATTCAGAACGTGATCGACTCAAAAAAGAAGAAAGTGTTAAAAGAGTTGACGTTCGGTCCCAATGAGGAGGCATATATCGTAGAGAAGATAAAACTAAGCGGAAACTTCTCCGAGAAACTGGAGCTTGTGGATTTTCCTTTTGATCATCAGGTACAGCAGATTTGCAAACTATTATTCATGTGTGAAATAAAATTTATAATGCAAGAAGCTGAGATATCTTTTGATTTTGTGTTTTTCTAAAAGAAGCAGCGCAAAAATCAACTAGCTGCAGCTAGGTCCTCTTGTCCTTTGCACTCTCTCGTCTACTTTTGATGTCTGTATTATCTAATTTTGTTTCATTCCTAAATATGAAAGAGGGGATGTTTTCTTTAACAGATGTTATGAGCTGAGTTGATTTATCAGTATTACTTACAAACGTTATCATTTTTTACAGTATTTGAACCTGATTATAACGTCAGAAATTCCCGCCAGTGAGTTAGAATTTGTGGAAGACACAGAGGAACTGAGTACGATTAATGTGTCTTGCTTTGTGGATGTCCAGGAGTGGTCACTTTATGACTATGTAGACTTTGTTCCTTATACAGAAACTAAATTGTTCTCACAGAAACGAAATGTCAACGCCAAGTTCCCGGGCATTTCTGTCGGCTGCTGCGCGGTCAGACGCGCGGGATTCTTCGTATGGAACGTTATCGTGATTATGGTGAGGCAAAAAACTACTCACGTGTCTTTCTGTTGTGAAATACAATGTATCATTATATAACCATTCTATTTTGATGTACATTCTATCTTTGAAATTTGTTTTATTGTTACAGACACTCATATGTGCCACTTCTCTCGCGACGTTTGCCGTTAGTCGTAAACTACCTCAAAACCGATTGCAGTTATCCATAACATTGATGCTGACGGCAGTTACATTTAGGTTGATGACAAATGCTAATCTCCCAAAGATATCATATCATACCCGCCTTGTAAGTGCAATAAATGCAAGTCTGCTTAATTAAAATATATCAGTACGGTACATATATGTATGATTTAAGTGCTTTTGAGATGGCAAAGTAAAAAAAATTCTTTGTTTAGAAATTATTGAAAAGCAAATATTTTTGTAGTTTTATTCCCTTCGGGAAATTTGTCGTCTAGGTACTAAAATTTGAGCGTTCTAATGAAATTGCAACAGTTTCAATAAATGTAACAGTAACTTACGGTATATTTTTTTAGGAATCGAATATCATTTTAATACATGACGACGTTTTCAAATTCAGTGTAATTCTGATATTCAGATGTTTAATCTTATTAGAGGTTTTAAAATGGGGAACGAATATTAATATTCATAAAATAAGTTTTGCCACTTATATTAATTAATCTAATTGAAAGTTTGAATTTTATTTGATTTCACAAGTACTAATTATTAATTAAAACATATTAAGTCAATCGTTCATGATAGTACATGTTTGAATTCTGGGTGAAAGTATTAATTTGTTTTGACACCTGCTGAGTACCCTTCTTTTTATAATGTACAAGTCAAACACATGGTAAAGAGGTGGGGGGGGGAGGAGGAAAAGTGGTACTCTTGTGAATAACATTCACATACTTTAAGGCAAAATAGCACTAGTTTTAGTATATAAAAAAGCGCATATAGTCCAAATCAATTTTAACTATCTATATTCTATAATTCTTAAAACAAGCAACAAACAATTGTAAATTAGCACAAAATTGAGTAAGACCACATACACATGTGGCAACACACTTTGAAAAAATTACGCATCTTGAAAAAGATTTTTAAAATGCGTTAAAATTATGACAAAATCAACGCACTTTGACAAAAGTGCGTTAAATTTGGGACAAAATCAACGCAATTTGCACCAAGTCTGACTAGATTTTGCAAGGGGGGATAAAAAATACCCCTCCCCCCAATGATATGCGCTAAAATACACCCATGTGTAAACTTTTAATATATATCATAAAAATTGTTTACAGTGTGTAAATAGGCACATGTGAATGTAGCTTAAATTAATTAGTGTAATCAACTGAAAAACTATGTCTAGATCTTGTTTAGTGAATTTGGTATGTAATATATACATGTACATGAAGATATTTTCTTAAAATTTTGTATTGGTGCCATTTACACTGTATCTCTTTGACTGTAGGATAAGTTCATTCTTACCAATATGTTCTTTAACTGGTTGGTGACGGCATGGCACGCACTTGTTACAAGATTTGAGTACGATGAATCTCTTCAGGAGACCATGGATAACTGGGCTTTTGTGGTCTTCCTCATCTCTTACGGTGTATTCCTACTCGTCTTCGGTATCCTAGTTCTAGTAACTGTAAGTCCGAACAATCCATTAGAAACAAGTACATGTACATAAAATAATTAGATTGAATATAAGTGTTAATTTCAGCTAAATGAAAAAAAAGTGGTAAAGATTCTTTTTTCTTGTATATTTTTCAGTATGTTATAAGAAATAATGAATTAGAAACCAAACTACACAAGTATGAGGTAAGTATCACTGTACACATATCAATATTTTTTTAATAATATATGACAGAACAGTTTTCAGAGTATAATCCTCGTTAAATCTGAATAAATTTAACTTACAGGAAAAAGCTGAGAAATTGATGGGTGGACATTGGAAGGACTCCCGGGAAAAAGACCACGAAAAAGTCGTCGTCAAGGTATAACAATACCAGTAGAAATAGAATATTAATGTAAACATACAAATTTTATAATTATTGTATATCAGATTTATGATATATTTTAAAACGTAAATGTTTTTAAGGGGAATACTGTATGATTTCTAGAAAGCCTTGCTGAAAATCTATATTAATTATGTTGAATAATTATTGAATAGGTAAAATGTCTAAAGTAAGACATCTATTCGGTCTAGAAATGTAGATGTTCGTATATTAACCAAGCCTTGGATACATGTGTAAGACTTGTTTTTAAACAAACATATTGATTTATTTCTCATGTTAGCATATGCGTTTTCAATACTATATATAACCAAGTGTGATACTATTTTAGAGACGAGCCGGGTTATCCTACACAACCCCTGGTACGGCAGCAACTGTGTCCCCAATGCATGCCTGATGCCCCAGCGATGTCATCCCAAAAGCTTTACAGGATACATATTAATTCATTCCATCCTTACCAATAGAACATAAGGTTTCATTGATAGAAACATGGACTGACTTCTTTAGTGCTCAATATTTCGTCATTGTTGTGAATATGCTCATGTTTTATGTGATATGCAATAAAAAAACTGAAACTTCTGTTCAGAGGTAGTGAAAAATTCAACTTGAACTGGAAGTCTTGTGTTGCGGAAATTGAAATAAACCCAAGTTTACTGTTAGCGAAAAAAAAAGTGGTCACTTTCCCGTTCCGGTTTTTTGAAACATTTTTAAAAAAATTCCAAATAAAATATTGATATTATGAGACAAAACAAGATGCTAAAGAGCTTTGTCACCCAGGTATGATTTTGATGGAAATTATGACTTACCCTCTGTCATTAGCAGCACAGAGAATATTAGTTGTCTTCATTTACATGTACCTGTATTGTATTTGTCTCATGAGGCAAAAAAACTTTATTTTCTTTGAAAGTAGACATAGGTATCACTCTTATACATACTTTTCTAAAGGCTTAATTTTAAGATTTATTAAACATAATAGAAAAGCAAAAAAATAACAATACAATGGAACAAGTACCGTAAATATAAGAAAACAAAGTAAAAAAAAAAAACACTAGATTCTTATAACACGTATTAATACAATTTTGAGACAATGGTCATATTCAAAAGATGTATATATCATATATGGTACTATTTCAAAATATGTAAATTGATAAGAAATATGTTTTTAAAAAAACAGCTTCTCATAAAAAGCACAGAATAATATACAATAAAATAAGGTTGACTAGGGTTAATAAATCACATGCAGCATTTTTGATATGTTACCTCAGCTCTACATTGAAAATGCATGATGTGCTGATTTGTGAAACATATATGACAAGGAATTTTAAACATTTTTTTAAATACATGTACTCTTTTTCTAGAAAAATCATCATTTAAATTGATGTTTATTTTCTATATAACAACTAATAAACACTGTTGAAAACTTTTAGCATTCAATTAAACTTCTATTTTTTTTTTTACATGCATTGTGTCATTACATGGACAAATGTGCTAAAAATTAAAATTATGACAGAATACAAATCAAAATTATTGATTATATATTTTTATATTCTCAGAAAATATCTTCAAGGCTCAACATTGTCCTATTTAATAATAAAATTGAACTGCCACATGTCGACTTGTTTACAAACTGCAAGGAGCAGCAAAGAATGGGATACTGATACCAGGCAGTAAGCATAATTTTTATTGAAAATACAATTTTGGCGATATTGATAACATATTGAGATCACTACTGTTGAATAATCCTGACAATTCATTCACTATCAATGGTAACAGGTATTTATCTCCAAATCACAAAAATTAGTGATAATTCTATCATTACAAACCAAACCTCTATAAGCTGTCTAGTATTCCTCCCTGCTAATAATTCTGACTTTAAAGGGTTTAGGCTGGACGGCCTGTTGATAGGTAGACTCCAGGTAATGGGTGGTCCCCTCTGGTCTGACAAACAGCTGATGCATGATGTGTGTGAAAAAAATAAATACCTCCACCTCAACCAGGCTTTCCCCGGGGCACCGCCTGTCCCCCAGTCCAAAGGGAATAAAAAACTCAGGAATGTGAAGTCCACCACTGGAATCTAGAAATCTTAAAAAAAAAATAAAAGATCACATTGATTATTTTTTTCTCAGGCCAGATTTTTCAATGCATCAATATTCATTAAATATTTAAGAGGAAAAAATCAGCAAATTTATGCTGAAACAAAGAATTAAATTCTACATTATGTAATATAATATGGATTTTCAAACTTCTATTTTCCTTATTAAACCTTAAACTTTATCCAGTTGATATTACATACCGCTCAATATGAATGTGTGTTCTACCTTGATGGATTAAATTTGGAGGGATTTTTCCAGAGCTTTTTATCATGATGTAGACTCCAAACACTGAACATCATAATGGTGTTTTTAGGAATGTTGTACCCTTCAATAAAAAACAAAATTAAAGTTTAATAAAATGATTTAAGGCCACACCAATTTAATTTCTTGTTCATTTTAAAAAAAAAAGTTGTAAAAATAATGATATTTTTTTTGTGGGCTTTTTGAAAAAATCAGATTTGCAGAGTTGTTAAAAGTCTGGAATTTCAGGTGCAATTTTAAATTAATATTATTTGTGTAGTTTAGTTTAAAATCACTTTTATTGGTGTGGCCTAAGTCAGTTTAATTGTACAACATACTTCTTTATAATCAGATTTTGTTATTTAACATCCTATGTCTAAAAGTGGTAAATACCTTGAAATAAACAGTTTTTTACGGCTCTGTGTGGATGAAGAAATGGAAACAGAGTGACAATCCTTTGTACTTCTAGTATAACAGCCATTGTGTAGGGTAGGAAAGGTTGATCAGCTAATGTTGGAAACCTTTCCCTACCAACAACTTCATCCATTTCTTTCTGCATTTGTGTTTGAACATCAGGAAAAGCTGCCATGTATCCCATCAGCCAGGTCAGTAAGGCTGGCACAGAAGAAAAGCCACCACCTGCCAACTCCAGGAGGATGCAGTCCATGTCATCCGAATCTAACAGTTCTCTGTCCTCGCCAGCCTCAATAAAAATCAGAAGCTGGTCAACAAAGTCTCGTAAATCATTCGGGTTGTACGAGTCCTTGTGCTGATTCAGAAGAATTCGTTGAAATTTAGTCAACAAAGCAGCTCTCTCTTGAACTTGTGTAATCTGTTGTTTGAAAAAGGGTTTCAAAAAAGGAAAGTAATTATATAACTGAATTTTCATAGCTTCTTTTCTGTCCTCCAAAGAATCATAGATTTCATGTGTTATAGGGTCATCTACATTATATGCATCCTCAAATAGCAGTGTCATCATGATGTGCAAGTGGGCAAATTTGAAGCACTCTGCAGGATCAAAGGCTCCCCCTTCATTCAGGAAGAAACACATCAGACTGAGAGTCTCCTTCACTACAACTTTCTCTATAGAATAAGACAGGTGCCCTCTATCGGGATGATTGCTCCAGTGGCTGTTGACACTGTTTATCACAAAGTCTCTCTTAATTTGAGTTTTCAGATCAAAGTCTGCTGTAGAAATGCCTAAAAATAAACTTTGCCATTCAATTACTCTACATGAACTTCAATCTGTAAAGTCTCTAAAAGTTGGGATCCAATTTTTACAAATATATGAAGAATTTTAGAAGTATATAAATATCAGTTTAATGGATAATTTGATAATGCTGATCATGTGTTACCTGTAACTGCAAACATTATTTATAACATGCATATATTAATCTTATTATTATTATGTATTTTACTGTTAATTTTTCTGCTAAAAGTAAACACCTATTTTAACTTTGAAAATGTCCATACCTTTTTGTCTGTTTCCCATAAACAAATTATGGAAAACCATAAAATTTGGTCTACCATCAAAGTTGTTATCAGGATCTGTCAATCCTTCTAGAATTCCTTCCTGAGAACACACAACAACTAGGTTCCATTTCCCTGCTTTAATACTGAAAATATCTCCATACAATTCTCTTAGATTTGCTACCCGTATATGGGATTTTGATTTAAAGAATTCTAAATTTCCAATAAATGGTAAAGATACTGGACCTGGAGGATAATTAGTTCGTTGCTTTCTCCACAGATACACAAGGCTAACACAAAATGTCAATAATAGAAAGACAACGTTTGGGGCTCTGAAGCTATATCTTGTCACATACGACTGGAAAATCTCATCTGATGAAAGTATCAAGTTCGTAACAGACTCAATAAGGGTTTCGTTCATTTCCATGCGAATTTCAGGACGTTTGACAGGAACAGAGAAAATTCGAGCTGCAAATAAATACACTGTTAAACGATCTCTCGAAGTTATTGGATAAACATCTTTCCCACAAAAAATAGTCAACTTTTACTTCCATATAATTGCAAAAACTCGTTGAATGACCTTTGCAAAGTTACGGATAAAGGCTCATATTGATTTTTGCAGAGACAAGGAACGCCGCTTTTTGTTTACATTGTTTACAAACGCTTCAAAGACAAATCAACGTTGGTTAAACGCATAGTTCCTTGCACCATTAAAATAAAAATGATTTTAAAAATAATTTAGTATCGATGCCCAATAGTTTTTGACTTAAAAATCTTAGCAATTTAAACGAACTCAGGATTTTATAATAAATATGATTATGTAAATTGAGAACAAGCAATGCCCTTTAACAACGAGGACCGCTTATAACACTACAAGGGTAAAGTGTAAACATTTTCTGCACACTGCATGTTCCTAGGATGTTTCCCAAGTTGAAGCTTTGCACCAGGTATGGCATCACATAAATCATAATGCATTTGTTTGTAATTATTTTTACACTGCTTTTATGAGTTTGATTTTGTTGAGAAATCTATGAATATCGAGGAAAATATTAGATCAACAGATTTTAAAACTTTAATTAATTCTTAGCTATATGCTGACATGCACTGCAAGTATATCATGCAGTCTTGATTAATAGTGACATTTATATCATGCAGTTTTGATTCATTAATTGGATAAATATTAGATGGGAATAAATGATTAATTAATTTTTTAATTTTCTTTTCAACAGGTTTTCACCAACTGTTAACCAGTTAAGAAAACTTAGCAGTAAAGGTCAGCTCTTCTAATTTATTGCATTAAATTACATTGTACCAATTTAGTATTCAATGAGACAGAAAAAAATAGCATAATAATTTATTAATTTCAAAATATAAAGTTTTACATAATTTCAGTTGACACAATCAAATGGTGTACAAACTGTCCAGTGAAAGTTCACTAGAAATCTTTCAAAAATCCGCTCCTCCAGCAGTTTTTGTCTTGTTTCACTTTCTAGTATTTTCTACACAAATAGAATAATTCTTACTATTAATTTTTAATGCCTCTGGCCCACTGGCCCATTGTGAAAATAGTGCCAAATCACTTATTAGATATCTTTGTAATGTCTTTCTGTCCTTCTGTCCTCCTATCAAACTTTGTTTTTAGCTTAATTTCAATTAAAATGTTCAAGATGTTTTTATTTAGCTGATATTATCTGGTGCATTTATTACTGTGTGACTGGCATGATAGGTGTGTGCAAAAAGTACTTATATGCTAATATATAGTGACTTATTTGATGCAATTGCTGAATAAAGAAAATTATAATATTATACATGTAAGAGAATCATAAAAGTGCTCACAACAGGGAACTGATATAATGAAGCATTTTCTTCAATGAAATTTTAATTAATTCATACATTTTTTTGATTTCAGATGTAACCCCAATCAACAAAATTCTGATTGCTAATCGTGGAGAAATAGCGTGTCGTGTAATTCGGACTGCTCGTCGTCTTGGTATTCAGACAGTAGCAGTCTACAGTGATGCTGACAGGGAGTCACTCCATGTGGCTATGGTAAATAAAACAAAAATGATATTTCCAAGTCAAACTTTTATTTTATTTGATCCAAAAATGTATATTATCAACCCATATCTTACAGTTTAACCAGTGTTTTATCGGATTAAAATTTTGAGACATACGTGTACTTTGGCATAACAAGATTTTACACTGTAAATGTGAGGTTGGTATTCCTTCTATTTTAGGCAGATGAGGCCTTCCACATAGGACCTCCAGCAGCTGCTCAGAGTTATCTCCAACAGAAGAAGATCATCCAAGTAGCTAAAGAATCAGGGGCTCAGGTAAGCTTTACATTAGAGTTCTAAGTTATCTAAGCAATCAGGGCCACAGGTGAGCTTTACATTAGAGTTCTAAGTTATCTAAGCAATCAAGGGCATAGGTGAGCTTTACATTTAGAGATTTAAGTTCTGTTAGTAATACACAGCTAAACAGTCTAGTTCACTTTAAGGTAGACGGTGATAGCTTTGTTTAAGTATTAAGCAAATATTGAAGGGAGTTGATCCTTCAAAACTCAGGTTAGCATATAGAGGCTAATGTGGTTTCCAAGTAACATACTGTACAACTTAGTAATGGTTGTCTGTCAAGTTTGTACTAGGCCATATGCCTAGCTGTGTTTTTTTTTGGTTCTGATTTTCTTATCATTTTTAACAGGCCATACACCCTGGATATGGTTTTCTGTCAGAGAACACAGAATTTGCTGAGCTGTGTAGTAAGGAAGGGGTGTTGTTTGTGGGACCCCCAGCTTCAGCTATCAGGGATATGGGAATTAAAAGGTAATCCCAGATTTACTCAAATATTGCCCTAAAATGTACATTTATAATGTGTTCAAAGGATTAAAAATATTTCTGAACTCCATAGTATGTAGCATTTATAACTTCTATCTGCAAAATCTATGGGAGTGAGAGCCATTCATTACCCTTTAATTCATGAACTTTTTATTTGCAATATACATTGTACTTAAAAAAAATAATATTTTGTTTAAACTCTGACATTTTCATTAAATTTTCTGGCATTTTGAGTTGTATGTAAGATTTAATATTGTTTACTTTTTGTACATTTTTTCACCCACTTCCAACGAGGGCGAAAATTGCAACTTTTAATTTTTTTGTAAATTTCAGTATACATCAAAAAACCAAAAGGATCATATTTTTGTTCAAACTCTGGCATTTTCATTTAATTTTCTGGCATTTTGAGTTGTATGTACAGGAAATTCTAATAGGTATCTATTTTGTACATTTTTCTTATAAAATTGCAAATTTTAATTTTTTACAAATTTCAGTACATCAAAGTCAATCATGGCTGGAGCAGGAGTTCCTGTCATAGAAGGTTACCATGGTGAGGACCAATCAAATGAAACACTTAAACAAGAAGCAGCAATGATTGGTTACCCTGTAATGATAAAAGCAGTAAGAGGAGGAGGTGGAAAGGTATTAAACAGGACAGCTCAAGTTTTTTTTAAATAAAAAATTAGATTTTTCTTTTGGCTATGAATATTATGAATGCTAAAAGGTGACAACTTTTGGTTTATAAGTTTTATGTTTCCCCAATGTTTAAGAGATTGATCCATTGAAAGATCGTTAACTTCTTGGGGATCATCTCATACTGTTTTCTCAAACTGTATAGCTGAAAAGACTTACCAATTGTTATTGCATTTAGTATATATTTATGAAGATTATGATATTTATAGACAATTGAAAGAAAAATTTCCTTTTTTGCTCAGTAAATTTCTTTCTCTTGTGGATTAATATTTTCAAATAGGGCTATTTTATCCCATTTGGCAACTGATCCCAATCTGACTGAGACTCTTTTGAGATACCTTTGTGTAAGAATTGAGGTCTTGGAGGATTATAATCATCTTCCTATAACATAAATGAGAGAGAAAAAGAAATGAGAACTTTACTTTGATGCAGGGAATTTCAATGAGAATTCTAATCATAAGTATAAAAAGTTAGTGATGTCTTTGACATTGTTATAGGGGATGAGGATTGCTATGAATGCTGAGGAATTTGAGAGCCAGCTGGAGTCGGCCAGAACTGAAGGCAGAAAGTCCTTTGGTGATGACGTTATGCTACTGGAGAAGTTTGTACAGACACCGAGGTATGACACTCAACTTTATTCTGAGGATATATTCTTTACATTTTCATGCCTTTACATGTAGTTGAAACTTAAATGATTTGCTTTGTTCATCAATATTTGTGGTTATTTCCAAAACTGTTTAGTGGAAGGCTTTGAAACATGAAACTGAAAGTCAAAGGTGGTGTTTTTTCTTTTAAAAATGTGCTTTGGTTCTGAGGTTTAAAATAACATTTTTTTTAAAGTTTATTTTTTTTAAATCATTTCCTTTGAAAAATTTTCCTTCTTTGATTAGTAAGCACATGAATACATTTACAAGGTCTTTTAAATATAAGATGAATAGGTTTGTCAAAGAGTTGTATGGATTACTTTACTGAACAGAATTTCCTCTGATTACAGGCATGTAGAGGTTCAGGTATTTGGGGATAAGCATGGGAATTATGTGTACTTGTTTGAGAGAGACTGCAGTGTACAGAGAAGACATCAGAAGATTATTGAAGAGGCACCAGCGGTATAATTTATGTCATTGTGTACTTCTAATGGTATACCTTTTAGAATTGACATACTGTATTGTATTATCAGCTGTAGATTCCTAAACATATTCAAGGAAATAATTATTGCAAAATTGCACAAGAGGCACCACTTAGGAAATAAAATTACTTTCTTTTATTTATATGATGTTGAAATCCATGTAAAATCTCTTGACTAAGCATCTACTTGCGAATTATTGTTCTCATGATTTTATATCGAAAACCATTTCAAGATAATAAGTACTCATGAAAAATTAATATAAATCCACAGTATTCTTTCCTTCCAACAGCCTGGTCTGACAGAGGAAGTGAGAAGAGCCATTGGAGAGGCTGCAGTCCGGGCTGCTCGTGCTGTGGATTATGTGGGGGCTGGTAAGTTATATAGCTCTGTCTGTCTCTCTGGGGAATCGATTTCCACCAAATACCGTACACGCCAAATAAAACACATTTACAATATAATATATAGATGCTAATTTCTGAGCGATTCACATGTTCACAGGTATGTTTTATGCTATTTAAGGTACTGTTGAATTCATCATGGACAAAGATCAGAAATTCTATTTCATGGAAATGAACACAAGACTACAGGTGGAGCACCCAGTAACAGAGATGGTCACAGGCACGGATCTAGTGGAGTGGCAGATCAAGGTCAGAGCTAGGGTCTAGGGAGAACAGGGCAGTGTAGTTTCTGAATCAAGATTACACAGAAATTCAGTGATACATGTATATACATGTCACAGAGTGAACAGATTGTAAATATCAGTCAATATATCTGGTCTTCAGTGGAAAGAATGCTTACTGTCAGAGGCCTAGGGTTCAAAACCCAGTTGAGACCTTATTTTTCATCATTTCTGGCATTTGACACCCAGTGTATATGTATCACAAGCTGTTGTAGAATCTTCCTTCCTTGATTTGATATATTGTTTATTTTGATTGTCATCTCCCTCGGGAGATGACACATTAAGATTGTATGCCGGAAGTGAAGTCTTAGTGTAAGCCTCCATTAATCTTTCGGGAGTCCTTGATGTTTTACAGAGTTCCAAGTAGCCTGTAAACTGGTTTTCTTTTAGAAGAACTAGCTTAGGAGTGAGTGATCTACTTTCGGTTTAGGCCTATTTGAAAGCCAAGGAAAATTTAGAAAAGAAGTACGATGCTTATAAATATCTATAGTTTATTGATCCTCAGTACTATGCCTTATTAAATGGGTAAGCCACACAAGGAGAATTGACAATGACGTGATTTCTATATATAGATTTGTTGACGGGAAGGGAAAACTGGTTCTCGCACAAAAGAACAAGCTTACAAGTAGATTCTGCAAAAAGTGAATGAAGAGTGGTCAACGCTAATTTTATGTTAATTTTTTAGTCTGTAATTGGATGTATTAAATTAATTCCTGTCAAACTTTAATGATTAGCTGCTTTTAATGAATTATAATTATTGCTGATAATTCCGTATTGTGTTAAGAAAATATAGTTCAAGGAAAGTATTTGAATTTAAGTAAATTGTAAACACCCAGAACCACAAAGACCGCTAGAATGAAATTTCACGAAAAATCGCCTTGGGTGCTCTCGCAGACGTCCATGCTTTCCATATATATACTGCGGCCAAGAGAAACTGCGTCATTTAGGAACTTCAGGTGTAATAATCCATATATTCATTGCATTAAAATATCTCCCATTCTGTTTTATTTCTTTGATATATTGACATTTCAGGCTTTCTGGAAAGCCAAACTTGTCAATGTTATCTTTGATTTTGTTGCATCTGACCCATGTACATTAAACTACATTTTAATATGAACTTGTATGCAAGTATTGTGCAAAATGCAGATTATGTTACTGAATAAAGAATCTAACACTGATTGATTAACTGTAAATATTAGGTGGCTGGTGGAGAGCCTTTACCAATCACACAGGAAGAAATCAAACTTAAAGGGCATGCGTTTGAAGCTAGAATTTATGCTGAAGATCCAAACAATGCATTCATGCCTGGAGCTGGTCCCCTTGACTATCTAAGAACACCTAAACCTGATAAAGATACTCGCATTGAAACAGGTGTAAGGGAAGGTAGGTGTGTGTATCAGTAGTGAATTCAAAGCTTTGTACAACAAGTCTGTTCTGTCCAATGTATTCTGAGAAATGACATTGACTGATTTGACAAAGCTGTTTTATTTGACAGGAGATGAGGTTTCTGTTCACTATGATCCAATGATTGCTAAACTAGTGGTCTGGTCTGACGATCGATCATCTGCACTCAGACGAATTCACTCTGCACTGTCTCAGTATCATGTGGGTATTAGATTTTTTAATGTGTGTACATAGATATGTCCAATACATGTATTTTGACAAATGTTAAACTGGGTAACACAGATGTAGCATTTGTACTAGATTGCAAGAAAATTGTATATTATATGAATTCATGATATAAAGAGTGTACACTTGTGAACAATTTCAATAGAAGTGAACATATAAAATTGATGATATGTATGCTTAATTGGCCACTTTTCCACAACAGGTTCTTGGACTAAGTACAAACATCCAGTTTTTGATGGACCTGGCCAGCCACCCTGAATTTGAAGCTGGCAATGTCCACACGGACTTCATACCTCAGTTTAATGATCAGCTGTTTCCTGTCCGCACGTTATCAGACAAAACCGTCTGCCAGGCAGCTATTGCACTGATGTTAATAGAACAGGAAAAAATCCATCAACATGCTTGTAGCACTCTAGGTACTCTATACTGTATCAAGTTCAGTCATGGGGGGGGGGAGGGGAGCAAAAACATTGATTTATAGGAATTTATATTAACAAACGTATTACATTAAATGGTTGATTTCAAGAGTATATACAGTACATGTAGGCGTATTTATGTATTTCAGATCCATTCTCTCCATTTTCTGCCTTGTCATCAGTGAGAGTGAATTCCTCAGCTGTACACAAAATGTCGCTGCAGGACGGAGATAAAAGTAAGCTTGGTTGTAATCTCTCTACTGATTTAATAAAAACATGTAATATAAAAAAATGAATTACCAGTATTGTTAAGCTTTTGTGATTTGACGTTGTTGTGTTGCTTATGAATAGGTACTTTGTCAACATGCTTGTTTTCATTTTAGAACTGGATATAGTCATTCAGGCAAACATTGACAGGAGCTTCAGTGTGACATTTGGAGGGAAAACTTACCATGTGACTGGGGAGATACATGGGGAGGAGGCAGGTGTTAAACTTACCTGTAGTATTGATGGCGTCTTCTCCAAAGCTGATGTGGTCGTCAACAATAATACAGTCCATGTCTTTACCATTGTAAGTCTTATTGATGATAAATACTTCGTAATATGTTCCATATTTTTGTAATATTTTGAATGAAAAATGTGGAATTATTTTTACTTGAAGGAAGGGAAACATGATTTACACTTGCCACTTCCATCATATCTCAAGTCAAAGGATGAATCAGGCTTTTCTGAGGATGTGCTCGCTCCCATGCCAGGAGTGATAGAAAAAGTACTGGTGTCCCCTGGTACAGAAGTTCAGAAGGGTGACCCACTGCTTGTCATGATAGCCATGAAAATGGAGGTAGGAATCTTCTTTTATGATATAAGGCAGCACTTTATTTCATATTTTCTTTTATTCTATGTATAATATACATTTAAGTTTAAGACTACATGTAATATAATTTTATTTGTTTGCTTTGACTTGTAGTATATCATCAGAGCACCAAAAGATGCCAAAGTACAGACCATTCTGTATAATGAAGGAGAGACAGTAGCCAAGGGAACTACTCTGGTTCATTTTGAGGAGGAACAAGCCACAAAGGACGATGAGTCAGAATAAATCTCAAGAGCATTTTTATTGGCATTAACTGATGTTCAAATAATTATTATAGATTGTGAATAATACTCTGTGAAATAAAATGTATATAAAATCCTGTGACTGGCCATTTTTCATGTTGATAGAAACTTTCTATTCTAAAAACTGGAAGAGGTGACATCCTGGCAATATGACCCTACTGTACATAAAAGACTACAGTAAAACTCGGTTATAGCGAAGTCCTGGGGACCTGTGAATTTAATTCGCTATATCCGTAATTCGTTATATCCGTATAATGAATTCGTATAACCATTATAGAGAATTCGCAATATGCATGTTTTCCTTCGAGTATTACTACCAAATATGTTAGGGAGGCAAATATTACAAAACATACCTTCGATAACGAAGGTTTTATTATGAATTGAATTTGATATAAAAATGATAAAAGGAAAAAAAGTCAGTTCAATTTATCATTTTTTAGCTCACCTGAGCCGAAGGCTCAAGTGAGCTTTTCTGATCACATTTTGTCCGTCGTCCGTCCGTCTGTCTGTCCGTCCGTCCGTCCGTCTGTCCGTCTGTCTGTCCGTCTGTAAACTTTTCACATTTTCGACTTCTTCTCAAGAACCACTGGGCCAATTTTGACCAAACTTGGTACAAAGCATCCTTGGATAAAGGGGAATTTAAATTGTTAAAATGAAGGGACATATCCCCTCGCAAGGGGAGATAATCAAGAAAAGACAGAAATAGGGTGGGGTCATTAAAAAATCTTCTTCTCAAGAACCACTGGGCCAGTAAAGCTGAAATTTATGTGGAAGCATCCAGGGGTAGTGTAGATTCTAAATTGTTCAAATCATGACCCCCGGGGGAAGGGCGGGGCCACAATGGGGAATCAAAGTTTTACATAGAAATATATAGGAAAAATCTTTGAAAATCTTCTTCTCAAGAACCACTGGGCCAGAAAAGCTGAAACTTATGTGGAAGCATCCTGGTATAGTGTAGATTCTAAATTGTTCAAATCATGACCCCCGGGGGAAGGGCGGGGCCACAATTGGGAATCAAAGTTTTACATAGAAATATATAGGACAAATCTTTGAAAATCTTCTTCTCAAGAACCACTGGGCCAGAAAAGCTGAAACTTATGTGGAAGCATCCTGGGGTAGTGTAGATTCTAAATTGTTCAAATCATGACCCCCGGGGGATGGATGGGGCCACAATGGGGAATCAAAGTTTTATATAGAAATATATAGGAAAAATCTTTGAAAATCTTCTTCTCAAGAACCACTGGGCCAGAAAAGCTGAAACTTATGTGGAAGCATCCTGGTATAGTGTAGATTCTAAATTGTTCAAATCATGACCCCCAGGGGAAGGGCGGGGCCACAATGGGGTATCAAAGTTTTACATAGAAATATATAGGAAAAATCTTTGAAAATCTTCTACTCAAGAACCACTGGGCCAGAAAAGCTGAAACTTATGTGGAAGCTTCCTGGTATAATGTAGATTCTAAATTGTTCAAATAATGACCCCCGGGGGAAGGGCGGGGCCACAATGGGGAATCAAAGTTTTATATAGAAATACATAGGAAAAATCTTTCAAAATTTTCTTCTCAAGAACCACTGGGCCAGAAAAAGTGAAGCTTATGTGGAAGCATTCTGGGGTAGTGTAAATTCTAAATTGTAGGAATCATGACCCCCGGGGGAAGGGTGGGGCCATTTTAGGGAATCAAAGTTTTACATAGAAATATATAGGAAAAATCTTTGAAAATCTTCTTCTCAGGAACCACTGGGCCAAAAAGTTGAAACATATGTGCCCATGGAAGGATCATGGGGTAGTGTAGATTTCAAAATGTCTAAATTTTGATCAGTGGGGTAGGGTGGGGATGCATTATGTATAACAAGGGTGAAATCTGGTAAAGAACAGAATGGTCAAAGCTTCTCAGGTGAGCGATGTGGCCCATGGGCCTCTTGTTTTAATAATCTTTCAAAGTTAGTTATAAAAGATGTAAATTTCATTATATTTAACCTCAACGGGAGTCAAAATCAGTTCGCTATATCCATAAATTCGTTATATCCAAGTTCGTTATAAGCGTAACATTTTACAAAGATTTGTCAAGAATTTTGCCGAGGACCCAGGAAAACTTCGCTATATCCATGAATTCGCTATATCCGTGTTCGTACTAAACGAGTTTTACTGTATGATTAAAAACTGGTATTTGCCGCATTAATTATCATAAACGAAATTCCAAGTACTACAGTAAAACTCTTTTAGTATGAACACAGATATTATAAATTCATGGATATAGCAAAGTTATCTTTGATCCCCAACTATATAAATTAAACGAATTCCTTTGGATATAACAAAATATGATACATTGAAGTAATTTCATAGGTCCCAGTGACTTCATTATAACCCAGTTTTACTGTATGCACATCTCTGAAATATGCATAATTGATCAGCAAAATAGAAACATTCTTGAAGGAGGAGTTATCTGGACAAAAGATTGACTCTATATATTAAAAATATTTTGCACACCTTTTTTTGGATAATGGCGACCTCTTGCAATCTGTTTTTGTCTGTCATGGTTCATGCAGTTTTGAACATTTTCACCTTTCTCTTGGAACCACTGATCCAATAATAATTTATGACATAGAGCATCTTTGGGAAAAGGGGTACAAACATTACAAATTTCATAATCCCTATCATTTTTGGGCCTGAGGGGTCGAGCCAAAGCCATCAAATTAATGCGATTTCAATTACTTCTGTATACAGGGCTATTCTTACCCCATTTTATTTTAAGCCCTTTCACACTTGCAGACAATTGTGCCCGTTTAAAATTAATTCACCCAGTCATACTTTTGTTTAAGAAATTATACCGCATTCTTTGAATTCGTCCCGTGTTAAATTCGCCCAAAGAGAGGAAGAAAGAAAATAAAATGAGGGTGAAAATTTCCCTCTATACAGTAATTAAACTTTTTTTTTTTTTATAGAAAACCCAGTTAATAAAATTTCACAAAGTGTTTATTCACAAATGTGTTAACATAAGAACCAAAAATACATACAGAGTAAAACAGTATGTATTTAAAAGGTTGTTTATATGTCCCTGGTATTTGTTGATAGCCATAACCTTTAGTTGACCTTTGAGCATCTCCAGGTGTCTTTTAATAATATTGTTACAAGTTTCTGATAGTCCTCATTGACATTCTCATGATTGTCCCTAATAACTTGGCACTGAAGTCTCCCATGTGAGTTTGCATGAAATACTCCTCAACTTTGTCAATTTTTTTTTATTATAAATCCCCACAAAGCTTTTAAAATTGATTACAAATTTGATTTTATAAAACTTTCTGCCTCATTCAAAACTTGTTGAAAGTCTTTGTATTTTTCCACATATTTTAATGCAGAAGGAAGATTGAGCCACTTGTAGTCAATGTGTTCTTCAGATAACTTGATTGGTATACTTGGGTTCTTCAGTTCCGAGAGCCAATACACTACTCGCTTAGGCTTCCCCCGCACTTCATAGTTCAAAGTCCTTTGGAAATTTTCATACATATTGAAGTCCTCTTTTTTTAACCCTGCCTCTTCTTCTGTTTCTCTAAGTGCAGTCTGTAATTCTGATTCCCCAGGGTCTACATGACCTGAAATGTATTGAGTAGTAAATTCTAAATTGCAAAATACAGTACAACATGCTTATAACTAAGTGCCAGGGACACATGATTTTTCCCTCATTATAAACATTATATTTATTGAATTCACTATTAATTTTAAAGGCATGGTCGTATATAAATCACTTTGCTATAAGGTTAAAATTACTAAAATTGTGTGTTAGCGTACATGTTTAACCAGGTATTTGCATTGAAACTATGTATTTGGTTATGAGATTGGGTTTGTGGTTGCATGGACTTGGGTCACCATCAGTGATGGAGTTAATTTAGAGTAGACAGAGCACCTTTTTAAAGTAAAGCATGCTACTTACTGAAAAGTTGATTTTACAGGAATTTCTACAACCTTGTTGAAAGTCAGAATTTCTTAATTCTTTAGTCATTATAATGACCTTGTTAGAAAATATATATCCTGATTCCTATCTTCAGGCTGTCTTTTGTTTGACTTGTTTCATACCAGTTGCTGGGCCTTTGTGTTTACACTGAATTGACTGTGGAAAGTTCTGTCTTCCTGATCAATAATATAGTCAGAGTATTTATCCAAAATCTTTAAACATTGCAATTTTTTTTAAATAAAGGAGGCTTCCAAAAATTTATATACTTCAGAAAAATAATGATTTCTAATTCAAAATAGCAAAAATAAAAATTTTTATTGGTTGAACAATAAATATCATAAATCCGCATTTGGACACTCCAGTAAAGGGCCATTACTTTTGGTTGAAAGTTTTCTCTATGCCTATTGTTTAGGAGATTGATCCCTGAAATTCCTATTCTTGGGGATGTCTTACAAACGTTTGACTTGTTTCAAAAGTTGCTGGTGCTTTGTGTTTATGATATTTATTGCAAAAATAAAAATTTTCAATTTTTGCACTGATCAATAATAGCCCATTTGGAGTTTTATCCATACAGCAATTTAAACACTGCATATTGTTTACAGTGTTACTTTGATGAATCCTGTGATCAAATTACAGCTTGCAATAGGGCTTCTGGCGGGTGTGATCGGTCAAAAGGGATGCTCTCTCCACCTAGGCGCCCGATCCCATCTCTAGAATTTCCAGTGGTGTGTTTCATTTCCTTTTTACATATAATTATGTATTGTTTACAGTTTTTTTTTTAGATCAATCGCTGTTCGTTATGAATGATAAAATTGGAGGCATTTAAATAAATTAAATATTCATTTACTATGATTACACGTACCTTTAGGTGGCGTCCAGTGATGTTCGCCATACGATGTTTGAAGCAATAAATACTGTACTTCTTTCTCAATTCGCCTGAAAATAATAAAACCTGCAGCTACTTTCTGTTTGGGATTCATTTTTTGTCCTTCCTCGACAGAAGAGGGAATATTTAAAGGGCGGTAATCGGCAATGAAAGAACCCAATATATATTTTTTTAAAACTGATAATGTTTCAAATGTTTGATCAAATAAAACTTTCTAGATCAATTATTTTTATTCCAATAATGAAGCTGAAGTGGTAATTTTAACATATTTTATAGCTAAAGTGTACTCAAATCAATATAGCGGTGCATCTGTCTTAAGGTTTAAGGTGCATTAGCACCAGTTTAAGGACAACAGCACCCATGTCGGGACGGTGCGTTCGCTTGTCCTTGTGTTTAGTTGCCCTGCACTAGCGCCAAGTACATTGAATTGAGGATACATCGCAAAAAATAAACTCCATCAGCAACGATTATCATTTTCAAAAGTATGATTACATGTACACAGGTGAAAAAAAAATTTTTGTTTGTGAGTATGTCTGTGTTTGTTTGATTTTCAATAGGAAGGTTGTGTGCAGTGATATTTGTCTAGTATTAGACTAATCTATTATTTCATATAAAACAGGCCCGTAACAACAGTTTTTAAAGGGATGGGCTTGAAAAAATCCCAGAGGAAATAAAAATATTAAAACTGTTCAAACTCAAATATCCTTTTTTTTTAGGAGGAGGGTTGGGCCTTTCCTTTTAATAATTTTTTAAAATCATTTTTATGCTCCTTAATTGAAGATCGGAGGTATATAGTTTTTTCCCCTGTCCGTCTGTCTTTTTGTCCGCATAAATATTAACCTTACCAACATAAAGCTTTATTGGTTGGAGCTATGGTTTTCATATTTCACAAATTTAGAGGCGTCGGAAGGGGGAAGGGCTTAGCCCCCCCCTTTTAAATTAATATAGACATAATAAAGGCTTTGAACGTTGGGACGTAGGTCTAGTCCCCCACCCCCTTCAACATGCACAGGTTGAAGTGTAAAGAAGGGTATACCACAGACACTTGTTTCAGAAATAATTTTTTCCCCATAGTATAATGATAACTCAATGTATCTAACTCCGAATTACACATAGTACCCCCTTCCCTAAAACCACACTCCTTTCAGGGTGAGTGTTTTGGCAATATGTTTATTTCCATTGTCTTGTACGATAATTGATCTTCACAACCATATATATGGGATGAATATCTCTTTTTCTTTTATCTCCGTAAACAGCGTCAAAACGCTGTGACTCCGACCAAAAACTGCCCCACCTCTCTAAGACACTGGGATCCGTCACTGATCCTGAAACCAAGTGCCTATGTGGTCCTTGTCAACTATAAAGAAAATATTATAAGTTGATGACTTTAATTGGTTAAACAGGATACCCCGTACGTATGACAGCTTATAACGAAGACTGTTCAGTTTTTAAGGAGGCTGGTGGGTCAACAATTTAATCCCAAATTAACCACCAGATTTAACTTATTTTTTTAGATACGGTATCTTTAGCTGTCAACTATCATTTGGCAAAGAAAAAATTCATATATTTTAGTTTTAAAATTTGATCATTTTGTATATCTTTATATGGAGCTCTCCTTTTAAAGGAGATTGAAATAGTCTAAAAATGGCTGCCACCCCCTAGCCTCGTTAAATCCCCAAGTCAAAATCCGAGGTCAAGATCAAAATTAAGGTCAAAATTGTTGGTATCCAGAAAAGGTCTTATCCAGGAAAACACTGTGAAATGCGAAAGTCTTAGTATTAACTGTTCAAAAGTTATGGCCAAGATTAAAGTTTTTTTAAGTTGGCCAAACTCTGAAGTTCAAAAGGTAAAAAAAAAATTAAATTCATTGAAAGGTCTTGTCACAACGATTACCCATGTGACTAAGTATGAAAGTCCTAGTACCAACTGTTCAAAAGTTATGGGCAAGGTTAAAGTTTGGGGGATGAGGGTAGAGGCCAACTTTTTTCATTGCCAACTTTTTCCAATACCAACTTTTTTTTTGCATACAGTACTACATTTCCCATATATCACTTTACTATAGTAAAAAAGGGGGAAGGGGGCAACCAGTCTTTCAATGAAAGGGGCAGTCCCCCCCCCCCCCCCGTTGGTACGTGCCTGACATAAAAAGGCTACTGTGTTTTTAAACAGGCACTATTTATTCTCAAGAGCACAGGTATGCCTATATAATGCAAATGAGAACGAAAATTCTATAGGAGATTTTTTCTGATGTTTTTTTAAAAACATGCACGGACCTAATGCTGATAAGAACGAATTCTATTGGAGTTGCAGTTTTTCCGGATATAAAATTTCTGCCCGTCACTGACTTCGATGTATATTTCATCTGGCGGGTTGAAAAGTGAGAAGTTTAGAAATTTATTAAAAGAAAGCAAAATATAATGGCAAATGTGGAAGAGGTTTGTTGGAATTGTTAGTCAAAAGTGCAATGGTGTGTGAATAACTAGATTTCCTTTAGGCCTAAATGAAAGCAGCTGGAGTTTTTTTTATTATTGCACAGAAGTAGACTAAACGGCAAGCGGTATATCTAGTCTTCCCGACTCCCGACGCCCGACTCCCGACGGTCCCGGATTTGGGATTTTTAGCGATTTCTTTTTTACCGGTGCACAGATTTTATTCAAACTTTTCAGGCACAATTTCTGCGTTTATATGAATTCATTAGTGCATAAAAAAAATTTAGGAAATTTGTCTTTTTATTACTGAATCAGCAGTATCACCTGCCAAAAAGGCGGTAAATCTAGTACTCTGTTATAAATGTTAAAACCAAAAACGAACCGATTTTTCTAAAATCGCGATTAAAACAACAAAATGAAGAATATATTTTTTTAACAAATAACTGGAAAACCTCATTTAAATGCTAAATAATTTGTTTTATTTTATTTTTGTACGCACTGAAACTCACATATTTTACTTTTTTTAATTAAGAGTTATGCTTATTAATTATCGATACATAGCGATGAGCGGAGACCGTAGATCATAATACTGATATTATTTGGGAAGATATTTCTTCTTTTAAAAAGATGGAATTAGTGTTTCAGTGAAATTGAAGGTGTTAGAAAAGTATGAACAATTTAATTTCATAGATTCCAGCATCAAAAGGACTTTTAAAGTCGGGTTCCTTTTAAACCTGTTAATGAAGAAGATAATCACTTATTATAAAAGCTTTATCAAAGCAGTGTTAGCTTGGGTAAAATAATTAATTTCCTAATCACTTGGCTGATACAATGAAAGTGGAGAGATATATTCTGTCAAATTAAAAAAAAGTAATTATGTATTGTAAACTGCTTCTAAATCAAAGCTATTAGCTATTAGTATTAACCATGACTTGTTAACATAACATGTAACCGGGGACAAACCATGGTCCTTAAAATATTACTGGTAATCTGATAACGATTTTGTCATTGTGTAGGTTTTCATACGATAAGTGGAATTTAGAGTTATAACTTAAAATCAGTCAACAAAAAGTAAAGTCAAATAAAAATAAATTAATTAATAAAGGGGGGGGGGCTCCGACGTATATATGTCAATGTCGTACGTAGAGCCTGTGAACATAATGTGGCAATGGACGATTTATACACGGAAAAAAAGAAATTATATGGGTGTTTTTATGCGTACAAATTATGTGGTATGTAAATGAGGTTTTCCGCTTATTTGTTGAAAAAATTATTATTCATTTTGTTGTTTTTAATCGCGAGGTGTCCGTTTTTGGTTTTAACATTTATAACAGAGTACTAGATTTACCGCTTTTTGGCAGGTGAAACATTTTCAGTAATAAAAAGACAAGTTACCTAAAGTTTTTATGCACTAATGAATTCATATAAACCCAGAAAATGTGCCTGAAAAGTTTGAATAAAATCTGTGCGCCGGTAAAAAAGAAATCGCTAAAAATCCGAAATCCGGGACCGTCGGGAGTAAGAAATATAATTATATAAACTAAGAAATATAATTATATAGTGCATCAGTTTTTCATTTTGATAATTTACCATGGTTACAAAATATAGAATTTTCTATGACATTCCTTTGACAAATAATCCTCATTTTAAGAGTGACTATTATTTACTCTCACCTTTGACTACTGACAAATCAAATTTCATCTCTTTTTTTTTATAATGGTCATCTTAATTGCAGTCTGGAGACATTCCACCTTTAAAGAAACAGCCGTCACACTGTAGACGTGGTCTAGCTGCCAGATTAGCTGCTAAAAATAAAAATGTCACGGAAGACAAGTCGTCAACAGAGATCTCGGGGGAATCGGCTGTATACTCCACACAGGTGGCACGGATGTTAAACAAGAGAGGACTCCCAGATGTTGAACATTTTCATTGTGTTTTGTCAGGTAAACTGGAAGAGATATGGAATGATATTATCTTAGTAATATACATGTAGATTTATTATTATGGCTGTATGGTGCAATCTTTTTACAGAAAAATTATGAGAAATCTTTCACATGCAGACCATACAGCTTTAAGTCTTGAACTCTTCAAAGACAACCTCAAAGCTTGTGCTATTGTCATATGTACAGCTTGTTTAAAGTATTTGTTTTATGTTAGGTGAAGATAGTAATGATGAAGATGAAGATGATTGTATCACTCCCAGCAAGAAAGCCAAACCAAAATCTGATACAAGGAACACAGCAGAGGTCTGTAGTCTTCTGTCAGACGATGAAGAGGAAATCCACTGGTATGTGAAATGGACGGGAAATTTTCTTTTTCAGTTGTTACACAGTGCTCCAAGTTGCACTTACTTTTAGGTCGCTAAATGGCGACCTAAAACATTTTTTGGTCGCCATTTCAGAATTTCTGGTCGCCATTAACAAATTTTTCACTCACCATGATGAAAACATGTGAATAACACATGAATTTAAACAATGATCTAACATCCACATGTGTTATGTTTTTATTAAATCAAAGATTATTGATTACTGTGACTAGAAATCTTTTGCTAGTTGAAGGATATATTTTTATTAAATACAACCACCGTTTGTATGGTACACAGAAGAACACACATAATCTGATCCTAGAATTAAAGTTTAATCAAAAGAAAATAAAACTTTGACAGTTGTTGAGACAGGACTTTGCCAATTGTTTATCATTTTTACCTGTTTACTTACTACTATGTATCTTACACATAGCGCAGTCGTTATCAATGCTGCCAAAATAATTAATTGTGATATGCAAGCCATTGACCAAATACTTTAATAACCAGGTCAGAGAAACTCTAAAAAGTTTACGACATTTGGATGCCATTCTCTCAGAGACGTTATGTATATACGTTTCTGGTTCAATCAAACTTTACTATTACAGTATGCTGTCATAACATTACGTGATCCAATTCCATACGACGCTTTGTAAAGTGTGTTAAAGTGTATATCTTCAAACATTGTCTTGATAGAGAATCTTGAAAACGTAAATCTCGATCCCGATCATAAAAAGATGGACGTTGCCAGCCCAAATTTTCTCAGTCACGAAAATGCGACTTAGTTTTAATTTCTAGAAGCAAAACCAATTTTTTGGTCGCAAATGCGACCATTTTAGTCGCAACTTGGAGCACTGTTACAGTAGATATTTTCAGTTTTCTTTGAAATACTGACAGTTAAGCGGTCAATGTAAATTTTTGATTTTTAAAATTTCATTCACTCTTATTCCATCTTATAAGTTTCAGTTAGAAAAGTTCCTTTTTATCTTGATTTACTTAATTGTATTGGTTGTGAACTGTGTTTGTCGGCAGATCATCAAAGAATGTCTTGCATTTTTGAAAAAAAGGCCTTGAAAAATACATTTGATTTAAAAACATTTTTTAAAAACAACTTGCCTTTACAGGTTGATAGTTAAGACATTTTAAGAATGCACATTTTACATTTCATTACACTTGAACCAATAGTAATATTTTAGAAATAAAACACTGTTGAAGGAAATCCCTTTACCAAATAAAGCTACTCTGTATCTGATGTATAATATCCACCACATATATGAGATATAGATGTGGTACTTACTGCCAGTTTTTCTATGTTATAGCACACCTCCGGACAGACAACCGATTGTGGTTGACTCGTTGAGATCTCCCTCTCCACCCCCACCCCCTGAACCCCTAGATGTAATACCAGTTCTCACCAAACAACCGTCAATGACTAGAGCCATGAAGAAGGCCATGAAGTAAGTGTTTATTGGGGAAAGATCCAGTAAGATAGTGCCAAATCAACAGAATGAGATATATTGATGAATTGCTAATCAGTACAACATAAAATGTGCACCAAAAAGTATTAATTCTACACAAATTATATCAAATCTATTTTACACACTTAAAAAAATCGGTGCTTACATTTTCTCTGACAATATTGTAGATAAAGGGAGATAAATATTGAGTCATTTCAAAGTACAAGTAATGCTCAGGCTCTTTGCAAAATATTTTCAAATATTTATCTGAATAGTCATATAAAAGGTATATGGATTTATGATGTGAGAACAATATGTTTAATTTAATTTATGCATGTCAGTGGGTAGGAGAGTATTATTATTTCATTGTGTTTCTTTTAGACAGCTATCAGAAGCCAAGTCCTACCTCCAGAGGGACACTACGGCCTTAAACATGTCCTATGGAGATGATGTCATTTGTCTAGACGACTCTCTGGATGAAAACTCTGTGTTCTTCTTTGTCCAGTGTAATGCTGAGTTACAAAAGCATCGAATGGGAAAGGTGACATCTCATGTTTATTGCTTTTACTCTTTCGTAACTACATTGTCAGTTCTGTACAATTTTATTTGTGGGGGGTCAATGTTTATGGGCAAGCAAGTTTTACTGGTTTGTGGGAAGGTCATTTAATGGAGTAACTCATTTATGTGGTAGATTCAATAAATCAATACCTTGGTAAATTAATGGTTCATTGGGATGTAAATTTGTGGATATGAATGATCCAGGAAATCCACAAGCTTGGTCCTCCCTGAACAATAATGGATTCCACAGTTAGCATAATTTTATTTTCAGAACAGGAGGAACAAGAGATTTTAAATTTTTTTGTTTTTACTATTTTGCAGTTGGAGCCTTTTAAGAATTTAGTGGACCATTTGGCTGTGGAACAGAATATTTCTGCTGCTGACGTAATGCTATCACTGAATGATGTAACAATTCGCCCCTCAGATACACCTCTCTCTGTCAATCTCAAGTCTGCCAATATCATAAGTGGGTACCACACAGAAACGATATTATAAGTTGGTACCACACAGAAACAATATTATAAGTGGGTACCACCCAGAAACAGTTGGTTGCAATTCCTTTCATTTACAGAGTAAGGGTACCAACCACAGATGTTATGACAACCTAAATGTTAAGATTGGATATATCCTTAAACTTTTTTTAATGTTCTTTACAGGCCATGAATAGGCCATATAATCTCTATTAGGACTTTCTTTCCATTCGTTTATTATTTTTCAACCACCACTTCCATTTCAATAAAAAAAAATTCCTGAACTCAAATACAATATTTTCAGCAAATTTCATGTACAAGCACGTATTCTTAAGAGAAATTCAACTGAATAATTTTATAACCTTGGCCTTCCAAAGCATTGGCCTTAATTATTATAATCAAAGAAAATGTATTAAATATTTTAATCAAACTACACAACGGTACCAACACACATTCTGTACAAATACATGAATTTTTTTAAAGCGTATTCTGTACTTTTAAATTTTATACATGTGAATTTATATAAATGACTTCAGAGGTATGTAGACACAGAAGCCTATATACATTGTACATGTATACTTCAAACTATTTTTATTTTTCAGTGATGTACAAGAAATCTGTAAAAGATAGTTGTGAACCAGACAGCTCAGATCTCTCAGGAATTCAACTGTTTGTTCAAAGTCGAAACTCCAAAAAGAAGCTAGATTTTAAAATTGATCCAGTAATTTTTTTTCATTGTTGAAAGAGTTTCTTAACATTGATATTGTAGATGTCAGTTAAAAATTTTACAACAAATTATATGAATAAAATCAATTGGCCATAATGATCATGGCTTAATGTAGCTTCGATTGTAAGATTATTAAAAGTCCCTTTGATGAATTAATTTATTTTCCCTTCAGCTGGCCCCTCTACAGTTACTTATCAACAAATACTGCATAAAAACTAAGAATGATCCCGGGAAATATCGCCTGCAGTTTGATGGAGAAGACGTCCACCCACAAGACACAGCCACGGACCTAGAACTAGAGGAGGGATATTGTCTGGATATTATAGAGATCACGTGATATTTAACCCCATTGGTATGCTAATTTCTAAATCTGGGCATTGTTCAAGAAACTGACTTGTCAAAGAGAAGGCAGTGTTGTTACTTGTTTTTGAACCCAAACAGCCATTCCTTTGTCCAAGGTAATGGGTACTTGAACCAGATCACTTCAGGTTTTAATGACTGTGCCAAAGCAGTATGAATATTGTGTTGGTATGATACATGTATGTTTCCGTAATGCTACCATTAAAATTGCATTAAATGCATGTACATTGTATTTCATGTTTATGCAATCTACTGTTTTCACTGTTAACTGAAAGACACTCCTACTTTCAACAGAAAGCGTCTTAATATCAATATCTGTGCAAGCCTTTAAATAATTTCTATTGTCATATGTATGGCCTGTTTTAAGTGCATTTGAAAGGGAAGACAAAACATCTTTTTTATAATGAGAAAATGAATACACTGAAAAACTGTAATTTTACTTGCCTTGACCCCAGAAACTTTGCTAACATCATATTCTTATCAGTATGTATAAGTGGTGTACATTTGAATTTTTAATTGTTATGTAAAGAATCTGTAATCAATTGCATTTGCTGCATGTGATCAGGAAAAATCTTTATGAAAGAAAATCAAGAAATGGTTATCATTTTCAATGTTACATGTAGTTACCTTTATTTTGTGAAAATTCTGTGGTAATCTGAAGAAATCATCATAAAATTTTATGTAACTTTAATTTATTCACTCATATTATGTCTTATAGTGTGAATAGATTTTGGTTATGCATTGAAAAACAAAGAGAACTAACAAAAGAAAGCTATAAAAAAATTGTACTTTAATATTTAAATATTTTCAATGTTAGCCATAATACATGTACTCTCAAATTAGCTTATATAAATGTTTTGCAAATTTATTGAATTTGATACATGATTTATTGCAAATGATTGTTCCTGATACAAATTGTTCCTATTATGGAAATTGAAATTACATGGCACTTACATGTTCATGTTAAGGTTTTTAATAAAGTCAAATTTACAATACTTAGCCTACATTATTTTGGTCATCATTTCTTATTGACTCAAGGCTTGTTTCTCAAAATAAAAGTGATAAGGTTGATAATTATTTGCTGTTTTCTTGCATATAAAACTGCTTTGTGTGTGTTGTGAAATTAATTTCTTACACAGCTCACCAGATTAAAACAGCATTTTCTCTATTCATCCATATACTTTTTTGTTGCAAAATTATCAATTTTGACATGCCTGAGCTGAAAAGCTCAAGTGAGCTAAAAGAATTTTTCTTTTCACATTTTGTCCTTTTTCTTTAAGGTTCCACATTTCTCACTCCTTATCCTGTTCCTCTGGTCCAGAATTTGCTTTAAAGCATTCTTGGTTGAAGAGATTCAAGTTTGTTCATATGCACCCTTGCAATGCCAGGGTCCTGAGTCAACATGTTGCCATTGGACCTCTAGCAAATTTCATTCAATAAAAAATTGCATCAATCTTGATTGTTTTTATCTCTCAACCGATCACATTAAGCCATTTTGTGATTAACAACTTGTAACACATGTATCCTTTTTGTTTACATTATCTAACTATTTATGAAAGCTTAAATTTGATTGGTGTTTCTCAATAAAAGAAGCAAGCCCACAAATATTGAATGAAATTTGCCATGGATCCAACTGCAACATGTTGACTCAGGAACCCTGGGATTGTTAGGATGGTTCTAATGGAGGGCCACACCTTGCATGCCGAGATAATAACGAATATGTGAACATTTAGCAACATCTAAAATCTTTCAGAACTACTAGGCCAGAATTAAGCTTGTGTAGTTGGAAAATAGCTCTTCAGAGCTAACGTTTTTTGCTAGTTTACCCGACTTTAAAAGCTTATAATAGAATAAAAATGTTTCTCCTCAAGAACCACTGAGCTAGAGAAACCTGAAGCTTGTGTGAATGCATTTTATTGAGTAGATTTAAATTCTGTTAAAACTAAGTTTGTTAAGCCCTTCATCATATTCTGAATGGATCCCAACTTCAGTATGTTGTTGCACCTTGCTTAGAACCGAGACTTGATACAAGATGTAAAGTTCAATATTACTTTGAAAGGGTATTTAATTTTGAAGGAGTATAATACACAGTCTCTTGATCCAACTGATCTGACTGAATCAAGTTCATTTACATCAGAATATCATGGATCTTTTTAAATCTAATTTTGCTTCTAACCTATGTCAGAATGTTTTATATCAACAAATACATGCAGATGTTTACAGAGGCTTAACTTTAAACTACTTGACTACTTTTTAGGACACCTGAGCCGAAGGCTCAAGTGAGCTTTTCTGATCGAAATTTGTCCGTTGTCTGTCGTCGGCGTCGTCGTCATAGTTGTTGTAGTCGTAAACCCTTCACGTTTTCATCTTCTTCTCAAGAGCCACTGGGCCAATTTCAACCAAACTTGCCACAAAGTATCCTTAGGTGAAGAGGATTCAAGTTTGTTCAAATGAAGGGCCACGCCTTCTTCCAAGGGGAGATAATTATGAATTATTGAAAATTAATGGCATTTTTAAAAAATCTTCTTCTCAAAAACCGCTGGGTCAAGAAAGATGAAACTCATGTGGAATCATCCTCAGGTAGTGTAGATTCAAGTTTGTTCAAATCATGACCCCCGGGACTAGGGCGGGGCTACAATGGCCGATCAAAGTTTTACATAGGAGTACCGGTATATAGGGAAAATCTTTAAAAATCTTCTTCTCAAGAACCACTGGGCCAGGAAAGATGAAACTCATGTGGAAGCATCCTCAGGTAGTGAAGATTCAAGTTTCTTCAAATCATGACCCCCGGGGTAGGGTGGGGCCACAATGGCTGATCGAAGTTTTACATAGGAGTATATAGGGAAAATCTTTAAAAATCTTCTTCTCAAGAACCACTGGGTCAGGAAAGATGAAACTCATGTGAAATCATCTTCAGGTGGTGTAGATTCAAATTTATTCAAATCACGACCCCCGGGGGTAGGGTGGAGCCAAAATGGCTGATCAAAGTTTTACATAGGACTAGATAGGGAAATCTTTAAAAATTGTCTTCTCAAGTACTTCAAAGCCATGATTAGTGAAATTTATATGCATTATGGAATCAATCTCAGGTAGCGAAGATTCTAGTTTGTTCAAATTATAACCCCCAGGGGGTAGGGTGGGGCCACAATGGCTGATTTTTAACCTAAAATATATTAAAAAATCTTCTTCTCAAGAATAGCAAAGCCTTGATTAGTGATACTAGTATTTATATGGAAGCATTTTTGGGTAGTGTAGAATTAAGTTTGTTCAAATCCTGATTTAAATTTATTCAAATCATGGCCCTTTGGGGTAGGGAGGGAAACAAAGGGGAATCAAATTCAAATTTTTATGAAGTTAATATAGGAAGAAAATGTTTTTAACAAATCTTTTGTATCAAGAACAGCAAAGTAATATGCTGTATTAATATGAAGGCATTCTCAAGTACAGGTGACTCTCGAAGTTCAAGGGACTATAAGAAAAGTTCGAGAGATCGAGGGGTTGGAGAGATAGGAAGTAAATAAAATCTTTACATCATCAATGTTCTACTATTATAGATACCGGAAATATATGTAATAAAGTCATTGCACGTTTTCAATTGATTTACTTGAAGTCAACAACAATGATCGTATTTTGAATAAATAAAGCGATTTCCTAAGGGTTTAATATTTATTTGTCCTTATTTCATGATTACATGAAACCTTAATAGCAATTGTCGGTTTGTAGATTCTAGTGTTGATTTCTCACAATCAGTATCAATCCTCAGGGATTTTCTGGGTTTGACATACTGGAATTTTTTTAAAAGTTAAACTGTAATAAAAGATTGTAGTCTACGGGAACTTATTGACAAGTACGTTTTCAAATTATTTTCTAAAAATAGCAAAGCCATAAGTTAGTGATAGCGATATAATTTACCAATTATAAGCAATTAATTATACCTACACGGACAACCCACAGGTGTAGTGTCAGTTTGTAAACACCCAATCCACCTCCATGCCAGCCCCTGGCATTAAATTTATTCAAATACAAGCTGCATTAATTTCCTTTGGCGTGTATACACGCGCAATCTAAACTTCGAGAGATAGGGGAAAACACAATGAAATGTGTGTATGAAGTTACAGAGATAGGAAGAAAGATATGTTTTTAGATCAAAGTCTTTTGCTTAGTTATATAGAGCAAATTAATATGCTGTATTAGATATGAAGAGATCATTCTCACCTGTAGTATTAAATTCACCCCCCCCCCCCTCCTTCAGTAAACTTTTCAGTTCTGATCGGATTTGTGCTTTTTCCCAGCCAATTTGCTCAGGTGAGCGATGTGGCCCCTGGGCGTCTTGTTGCACTTTGTTGCTTATTAGTTATAAAGACATTCTGACCAAAAACAAGTGAATGTCATTGTATGAATTGCTTGGCCTATAATATTGTCACAGTTAACCAGTGATTAAAATGCACCACTATGAAATGAAAACACTTCACTGTATCATTTTTATTAATTTTACCCATCACAACATTTACACTTCCTCTCTCCTTCCTCAACATCAATGATGACAGATGAATGAAATAAATGTATATATACACTGCATGGAATGATGTCAAAATTGCCTTATAGCACCACTTGAAACAAAAAAATTCTTTTGGTAATCCAACAAAAAATGTTCCATTCACTCCTTCTCGCATACAACACGTAAACAAAGAATTGTAAATCAGCCGAGACGTGGACAGGAATCTCTACCAGGAGGGTGCTGTGTTGGCCAAACGCCTCATCCTCCTGAAAACAGAAAAGGGTCCAATACATTGTCTTAGCCAAAATAATATTTTTAATGTTAATACAAGTACATCACAGTCACTTTTATTTAGATTTCTAACATCATTCAAGAAATGATTTTTATAACTAATCTGTTAATTTTTTTTCTTTTTTTCTTTTAAATACAAAAGGGCTTCCTTACATGTAAAAATTATTTTATTATATATGTACCTTGTGTTTCTATCTTGATCTCGGATCTTCTTTTCCATTTCTGCGTCTGTAAGTGTTTCTAAGAATGGACACCAAGTATCTGCCTCATTCTGGTTTCTAATTGCTACTTCAACAATGGGCAAAGGCTGCTCACTGCAGAAAACATGAGTATTAACTGATTAAAGTGTTATACATGAAGATCTTAGTAAACTTCTTGTAGCCAGATAATTCATTTAGCCAATATAAACTGATTTTTAACCATCAAAATTTTTAAACTCTCATTGGCAAGTTATTTTGAGTTTACCTAAAGGCATAAGTTCTTTGGTGCCAACTTAATTGGCCTCTGATGCTGTAAGCTATACATGTAATGAATTCTCCACCAAGGCCTGAAATGTCAAATTTAGTTTAAATGAAAGCCATGCATTGTTTTACGCATCAAAAGGTATCGGTAAAATATTTTTTCCCTTAATGCATGTACCTAATTCTGCACACAAGGTCTTGGCAAAATCTTCTGGTGAGTTATCTGGTTCAGACATGTCCCACTCAAACTGGTCAACCAAAGATATGTTGCCTACATGGATATTTAACTGAAAAAGAGCATTTACATGTTCAGTCTTGTACTTTAATATTGGATATAAATCACTGAGTCAATGACACACCATTTGGCACTTTCAACAAATTTCAGCATCAGAGTACATAATGTATAGGAATATAAAATTTCTGAAATATTTTAATGTTTTGACAACATTATCCAAATGTGTCAGATTTAAGTGTCGTACAACATTTTTGAGGTGTTAACAAACCTTGAGTATCACTCGTTGGTCTTTTTGTTCGTCTAACAAGTTTTCCTGTGGGTAGGCCTCTATTTGTTGTCTGATGGCTTGTGAAATGGCTGGGATGAAGTTGATTGGGTTCAGATCTAAATCATCACACAGTATCTCTGCAAACTGTTCAGGAGTAATCAGGCTCTCTGAAATATCAAAAAGATGAAAAATGTTGTGATTCTGATAACAGGTTTATGATAATAAGAGTTGTTAATACTAAAGTGAA